TCATCGAGCAGATTGTCGCCGCGCTGGGGGGCGAGTTTGGCAACTACGCACCGCATCTCATACCGCACATCCTCAAGGTGCTAAACCAGGACAGCGGCTCAAGAGAGGTGCTGATGAAGCTGTTTGGTGAGTTGACTGACTCAGTTTGATGGTTGAATCGTTTTTCGGTTTTTAATCAGGGTGCTTATGCTGACCCTTTTGCAGGTGCACTACAGAGTTTTGGCAGCAATCTAGAGGACTACGTTTCGCTGCTGGTGCCGCCCATCTGTGCGCAGTTTGAGACATCAACACGGAAGGACGTTGAAGTTCGCATTGCCGCACTGCGGACAATTGAAGTGCTTTGCGATGATTTAGAGCTGAAGGATCACAGTACGCGCATAGTGCATGCTATTGTCCGGACCATTGATAATAATCCACATGATAAGGTGCGTTTTGGGTTATATTTGTTTTATGTCCCTTTTTGCTCATTTGTATTATTATCCTCCTGTTTCAGCGGCTCGTCAACGCGGCCATGGACACGCTGATCAAGTATACCTTTCAACTGGGCATGCATTACCGCATCTACATTCCCATTGTGGACAGCGTTCTCGCGAAGCACCGCCTGAGCTTTGTGTACTACGAACAGGTGGTGCAGAATATCAAATCGGGTCAGTTCACGGAGGAGCAGGACGTGAACAATCTGACGAGTGGTGTGGCGGCGGAGAACAGCCGGCGGCGATTCAATGCCCGCCGAGCGCGTGAGCTCGTCCATCAGAACCAGCAGCAGTCGCCCTCGGGGGACATTGCAAAGAATCGCACTGCCAATAATACCCTGGACGATATTCGCCTCGGCTGGGTCGACTATCCGCGGCGAATCAGCACTGAGGACTGGCTCGAGTGGCTGCGCAAGTTCAACCTGGACCTGATCAACAACTCGCCCGCCTTTTCCCTGCGCGCCTGCTACCACATTGCCCAGACGTGCAACACCGTGGCGAGGGACCTCTTCAATCCCGCCTTTCTCACCCACTGGAATGACCTAAACACCGAAAAGCAGAAGGTAAGGCTTTTAGAGTGTTGAAGTGTCTAGTTTTTTCTTATTTTATTTGGTTCTTCCTTTTAGGATTTTATCGAGTCCTTTCAAGACGTCCTCAAGCAACAGGAGATTCCCGAGGTGACGGGCATCCTCCTCAACCTGGCCGAGTTTCTCGAGCACATTGACGTGCAGAATGGCAATCCGCTCTTTGACGCGGAGGTGCTCGGCGAGCGGGCGCTGAAGTGTCGTGCCTATGCGAAAGCACTGCACTACAAGGAGAAGGAGTTCAGTCTGAAGAAGGAGAGCGGCACTCCGGTGGGCCCCGACGTGCTCGGCTCGCTCATTACCATCAACAACAAACTGCAGCAGGCGCAGGCGGCCTACGGCGTGCTCACCTACGCCATGCGCTCCTATGAGGCCGGACAGCTGCAGCTGAAGGAGCGGTGGTTCGAGAAGCTGAACAACTTCGAGTCGGCCTTCTTCGCCCACCGGCTGAAGTTTGACCAGAACAACAACGACATGGAGGCGGTGCTGGGGCAGATGCGCTGTCTGGAGGTGCTCTCCGAGTGGGACCGCCTCTACGGGCTGGTCAACGACTACTACAGCCACGCGGAGGCGGACCGGGAGCGGATGGCGCGCATGGCCGTCACCGCCACCTGGAACCTCAACAAGTGGGGCGAGATGGAGAGCTACGTGAAGCAGCTGCCGGCCGACTCGAGCGACTCGGCCTTCTTCCAGGCGGTCATCAAGGTGAGGGAGGAGGACTACGGCCAGGCGCAGCACTTCATCGACACCGCCCGCCTGCTGGTCGACAACGAGCTGACGACGATGGCGGGCGAGTCGTACAGTCGCGCCTACCCCGCCATGCTCAGCGTCCAGCTGATGTCGGAGCTGGAGGAGGTGATGCAGTACCGGCTGGTGCCGGAGCGCCGCGAGATGATCAAGCAGAAGTGGTGGCACCGACTGCAGGGCCTCCAGAGCAGCGTCGACGACTGGAAGAAGGTGCTGCAGGTGCGCTCCCTGGTGCTCTCCCCCAGGGAGGACATGCGCAGCTGGCTCAAGTTTGCCAAGCTCTGCGACCGACAGCAGCGCTACAACCTCAGCTTCAAGACCATCGTCAGTCTGATGGGCGTCAAGCCGAATAAGCTCTGTAAGTGGGGGCTTTCCCTGTTTCGTATTTTAGTTTTTATCGCTCTCTTTTTTTCTTTTTCCTCGCAGTCCGCGTCGGCGAACCACTGCCGCTCACCTTTCCCGAGGTGACGCTCAAGTTTATCAACCACCTGTGGATGGCGGGCCACATTTTCCGCGCCTACAGAGAGCTGGACCGCTTCCTCGGCGCCCTCGAGAGCCCCAACTACCTGCAGGGGGCGACCTTTGCTTACTACACCTCCTCTGTTTCGCCGGTGACGCCGACCGGCACCGAGGGGCACTACTCAGGGCTGATGGTTGACCCGCAGCAGCAGCAGCAGCAGTTCGCCTCGGTGGCCACGTCCTTTGCCGTCAGCGGCGACGTCTCTCCCTACTCCAACGCGACGACGGCCATTGGCGGAGGCGGCGGGGGCAGCCGCGTCTCGCCCGCCACCTCACTGAACTTTGCGACGAATGCCGCCGTGGCGGCGGCCACCGCCGCTTCCACCACAAAGGTGCCCGTCGTCGTGCAGAAGTTGCTCTCTCGGGCGTACCTGAAGATGGCCAAGGAGCAGGAGTTTCTGGTGGGCTTCAGCTCTCGCTCCATCCCGACCATTCTGGAGAACCTGCAGAAGGCGACTGAGCGCGACAAGCACTACTACAAGGCCTGGCACGCCTGGGCCTTCTACAACTTTCGTGCGCTGAAGTACTGCAAGGACCGGAAGCCGGAGCTGCGCACCAACCTGGAGCTGCCGGTGAAGTACTCCAGTCGGCGGCCGCCGCTGGTGCCCAAGGACTTTTGCATTCAGGCGGTGCGCGGCTTCTTCCGCTCGGTGACGCTGTCGCCGCAGCAGCAGTCGATGCAGGACACGCTGCGCATTCTGACGCTCTGGTTTGACGACGGCTACAATGCCGACGTGCGAGCGGCACTGGAGGAGGGCATCAAGAATGTCTCCATTGAGACGTGGCTGCAGGTAGGCTGCTTTCTTTTCTATTTGTAGCTTTCTTGTTGCTTACCCACACTTTGTCACAGGTAATCCCCCAGCTGATTGCCCGCATCGACGCTCCGCACCAGTCAGTGGCGAAGCTCATTCACACGCTGCTCACCGACATTGGCAAGTACCACCCGCAGGCGCTGATCTACCCGCTGACGGTGGCCAACAAGAGCGCGGTTAGCTCGCGCTCCACCGCCGCCAACAGCATCCTCCACCTGATGAAGGTCCACTCGCCGAATCTGGTGAAGCAGGCCATACTGGTCAGCGAGGAACTGATTCGCATTGCCATTCTCTGGCACGAGCTGTGGCACGAGGGCCTGGAGGAGGCGTCGCGGCTCTACTTTGGCGACAAGAACATCGATGGCATGTTTGAGACGCTGGAGCCGCTGCACAAGCTGCTGGAGAGTACGCCGCTGACGCTGAAGGAGCACACCTTCTGCCAGAACTATGGCGCCGATCTGAGCAAGGCGCACAGCTACTGCCGGTGAGTGACAGTTGAGGAAATGTTTGGAATACGCTTGGGTATGCTAATGCTTTTTCTTTCCACATAATTCACAGAAAGTACAAACTGGACCCTAAGAAGGACCCGCGTAATCTGAATCAAGCCTGGGACATCTACTACCACGTCTTTAGACGCATCAGTCGACAGCTTCCGCAGCTTACCTCACTTGAGCTGCAGTTTGTCTCGCCGAAGCTCACCGAGTGCACTGACCTCGAGTTGGCCGTTCCCGGGTCGTACAATCCGCGCCAGGAGCTGATCTGCATCGCCAAGGTGGAGCCACAGCTGAACATTATCACCAGCAAACAACGGCCGAGGAAGCTGACGATAAAGGGCTCCAATGGACGCAATTACATGTTCCTCCTCAAGGGACACGAGGACCTGCGACAGGACGAGCGAGTGATGCAGCTCTTTGGACTGGTCAATACGCTGCTCAATAAGGAGCACAACACCTCGAAGCAGAACTTGGGTAACTTAACGACTGTTAGGCATGGATGTAACTCAAATGTAACTTCTTCTTTTACACTCTTTTAGCCATCCAGCGGTACGCGGTCATTCCGCTGTCGCCCAACTCTGGTCTGATTGGCTGGGTGCCGCACTGTGATACACTGCACTCGCTCATTCGAGACTACCGCGAGAAGCGGAAGATTCTGCTGAACATGGAGCACCGGCTGATGCTGCGCGTCGGTCCCGACTACGACCGCCTCAACCTCATGCAGAAGGTGGAGGTCTTTGAGCACGCACTGGAGTGCACGCCCGGCGACGACCTGGCGAAGATTCTCTGGCTGAAGAGTCCCAACTCGGAGGTGTGGTTCGACCGGCGGACAAACTACACGCGCAGTCTGGCGGTCATGTCCATGGTGGGCTACATTCTAGGGCTGGGCGATCGCCACCCCTCCAATCTGATGCTCGATCGAATGTCCGGAAAGATACTGCACATTGACTTTGGCGACTGCTTTGAGGTGGCCATGAACCGGGAGAAGTACCCGGAGAAGATTCCCTTTAGGTGAATTTGTTGAACACTTTTCTTCCCTTTTGAGCTGTTTTAGTCTAACATTGGTATTCTGTTTCAGATTAACGCGAATGCTAATCAACGCGATGGAGATTACCGGCTTGGACGGCACCTTTACCACCACCTGTCGAAATGTGATGAATGTGATGCGCAAGCACAAGGAATCGCTGATGGCCCTGCTGGAGGCCTTCCTCTACGACCCACTGCTCAACTGGCGTCTCATTGAAGGTAGAGAAGGTTTGGAAACTGTGTAAATGCTTTCACACTAACTTCTTTTCTCTTTTTGCAGCCCAACCGAAAGCGAAGCTTTTCCACCATGGCCTCATGCCGGGAGCAGGTGGCGCAGGNCCGGGAGCAGGTGGCGCAGGAGGAAATGCCGCCGGAGCTGGCGGTGCCAATCAACCGACGATGATGATGAACGAAGAGGAGGGCATGCTGATGCACAACTTTGATGGAGCTTCAGAGGCTGCCGCTGCCCAACAGCAACAGCAGCAACACCAGCAGCAGATGCAACTGCAGCATCAGCGGCAGATGCAGCAGCAACAGGAGATGCTTCAACAACAGATGCAGCAGATAATGCAGCAACAGGAGCCGGGAGGCAATGGCAATGGTGGTGGTGGTGGTGGTGGTGATCCAATTGCTCTGAAGAGGCCC